AATGTTTCTGCTATAGTATGGGCAGTATACTTTATCATCATTTACGACAACCCCTGAAATCCAAAATTTTACCTGTGTCAGAGAAGCTGTAAAAACAGGTCCCGGGGAGAGCCTGGAAGAAGCCAAAGAAGGTGGTGATGATGGGTCAGAGGTCACTGAGACAGCACTGGCCTTCAAAGACCCAGTGACAGAATTAGTCCTATAGGAAGAGTTTCAGGAAGCCATAAGACAGATTACCTCTTTGCAAATAGAAGTCCCAAAGGAACAACAAGATCACCTTCGGGAGATATTAGATTGCCCACTTTTCAAGGACGCAGAGCCCGAGGAAACAACAAACAGGTGGGAAGATGAGAAAGTGTCACTCGATCCAGAAGAAAATGCACCTGTAACAGAAAATACCACAGTGCAGGAAGAAGGGTAAATGCAAGAGTCGATGATAACTTTTGTACTCCCCGGTCAATCCCAGACCGATGGCAGAGGAATCAGCCAACCGCTGGAATGAGGAAATGGAGGAAATTGAAGAATATATGGTAGTGGACAAGTGGGTAGAAGAACCGGACTCTGAGGAAGAGGAAGAAAACAGCAAGAAGGAATGGAAAAGGGAGAAACATGATTAGGATTCAGTAGCTAAAGGCATAAAGTAGGAAAGCTGAAATAATCAATAAGTAAAAGTGATTATAGAAAAGATGTGTTTATTGTGTTTTGGTTAATGAATAATAGTGACTTTATTGTAACATTGATTTTGATTTGATGATAAAACAAATGTAAAACTGCTGCCGGAGGCTCTGTCCGGTTGTTTTCAGTTCCAGAAGACCAAGAAAGTACAGAGACCAGGAAGCCACATCAACAGCAGCTTCTCTCGAAGAAGATATAGAACTGCTACCAAGAGCAGGATGCAACAAGGGATGCCTGAACCATAACAGTAAAATTCCACATTTCAGCCAGAAATGCAAGAGTCCCTACCTAGAAGAAACTGGTGTGGGAATTATAATTTTCAAAATCCAAACTAAATCCAACAACCACCAATTCAAACCAACTAGTTGCTGGTGATCAGTGAGAGAGTCTGACTGTCATTCAGTAATGGAAGCGCTCAACTATGATCATTTAGATTAAATAGCTTAAATAAAAGATTAAAATAGCTTTTGTTGATTTATAGAGTTGTAAGTAAATCAAACAATTTATTGTCAAATCTTTGATTGCATTATTTCTTGCTGCTATGCTGTCACTGATTTTAAATATACATACAAATTTAAAACTTAAACTCTCTCTCTCTTTATTGCGTTATCTGTATGATTACTTCAGCTATAGTAGAGTGTTAGAAACTGCATTAAGGAATGTTTAAAGTTTCATATGATGGTTTTTTCTTAAATGAAAATACAATTAATTTAAATGTGATTAACCTCTTAGGAGTGAATTAGTAATGGCAGATTAGTAAAAATCATTTTTAAAAATTAAATTTAAAATAGAATTGTATCAGAAAATACTTTAAATGAATTGGTCAATTATGTCCTCATTCCAGATTATATATAATAAACTGGGTATCCAATCCTAAGAAGTTAAGTAATGGCAGCTAAACACTGCACTCAAATTATGGTCTGAATAAAACTCCTCCTCAAAGAGCCAAAATATATTGGGTCCTAAAACTTACCCAGTAAAGGAGGTAGCTGCCTATAATTGCAGATTGTTATTAATTTGGGGAGGATTTGGAATCTTGTTCTGAATTAATAACATGAAAGAGGGAATTCTCACAGGTTCATGGTAGTCAGGTACTGAGTGAATATCTGTCTGAAAACCTAAAGCAGTGTCTGAAGCTTTAAAGGTTTCAAATCTGCCACCTTAGTGTGAGGGTTTAAGCTATGTTCCTATGTCTCGGGGTTAGCACATTGTGGTCTTTAACACCTCCTTACAGAAAAACATGCCAAGCCTTTTAGCGACTGATGCTAAACTATTCCGTTAACTGTTCTTTAGACTTTGTGTGTGCTACTGTATAACAATCATTTATAATTGGCAGAACACTCAAACATGCCATGACGGTTATCTAATCTAAAATATGCCTTTAAAGGTTTCTGAGTAAATTAGGAATTAATATTTGAAGGAGCTGTTTGTTTACAGGCTTAACCAGTTGTTGTTATGGTTTGTGGACTTGCTTCCATTTTGATGTTTTTATTTTTGTTAATTTCCTGTTTCCCATCACCTCACCTGCCCCAGCTTTAACCTGGTTCACAATCACCATTCATTGTTTCCAACTGTTGTTCATTATCTCCTGGTTTTTCCCTATATATCCTCCTCCCTTCGTTCAGTCTGGTTGTTGGTTCATTTTGTCTCCATGCTTCGTTGGCCCTGTCGCCTTCGTTCTCTCAGCTCACCGGTCCTGCATCTCTGCCCCCTAAGTTCAGTACCTGTCTCTCGTTTATTCCTGACTTCATTTGATTTGTCTCGTTGTTGTCTGAGTTTTTTCGGATCAGCAGTGCTTTGGTTTATTTCCCTGTTTTGGTTTTTATTTTTGTACCCAGCTCCCTGACCTAGTTTTGTACTTTTTGTTTTGCTACATCAGGTTAAGCCTTGTATTTTGTTCCAGTTTCTTGTTTTGTATTACATTAAATTCCTATCGACCTCTGCCTTGGCTTGCGTCTGCATATTTGGGTCCTTCACTTGCCCGAAACCTAACAGTTGTAATTTATTTAAGTTCTTAGCTGCTGGGAATTAGAAGCTGGCTACAATGAGGTCTGATACGTCACTTCAGTTTTGTAGCTTATTAAATTACTTTATATTCCAAAAAATAAGCTAACAGTTTGCTCAGTTACCACTTTCTAAATACCTTTTGATTGTATTATCCATGTAGGCAAAGCAAATTGGGCAGGGGATAATTCAAGTTTAGATCCTATTCTTTCAACTGACATTTCTGTCCAGGCAGGCTAACAGAGCAGACAAAAAGTGAATTAATTCAATGTTTTGTGTCTTCTAGTAGCCTATTTCTACTGTTATGTTGATATATTTACTTTTAAATGAGGAAGCACAATGGCTCCCAGAATAAATATCCCTTTGTCGTTGCCTAGAAAATAATCTCTTTTCAAAACACAGTGAACAGATCAGCAGGCAGAGAAACTTCTTAACATAAAGATGGCACAAGCTCCAGAGCAGGATTACACAGAGGTTTTTGACAGAGGCTTCAGAAATTCATTACAGAGTCTTTGCAGGAGTTCTCTTTTGCCTCTCAAATCTGCATATTCACTGTAATTACTTCATAAGGCACTGGTTTAGCCAGCATGTAGCCTAGGAACAGTACAGTTTGTGTGAGCCATTATACAGAAAGATGTGAGAAACAGTTTTTGTCCAGGATGATTAGTCAAACAGCTTGAGCTAAAGTGCAATATTATGGACAGTGGTGTAGTGGTTGTGTCTGCACAGTAAGTCCTGGGTTTGTGAATGAAGTTCTTTCTCAGTACAAAGTCATGCAGGTGAACTGGGGTTTTGTGAATAGTGTATGTGTCCTGTACAGTAGTGGAAAGTGTTTACTTACAGATAGTACTGCACTTAAAGGAGAACTCCATGGGTTTTAAATTTCAAAGTCAGTTTACAGGTCTTGGCGGGCACTGCTGCATATGTGGGGAAAAAAGTTGTATAAAGTCTTTTGTGGCTCAGGAGGGAGCTGCACTGTCTAGAAAAACTGCCTCTATTCTTTTAGGGACAATTTTTATGCACTTTTTATTTTTGTAATTCCTTGTTTTGCTACTTTATATATCTACTTTACTACATTTCATAAGGATATAAAATATTTTTATTTTACAGGTAATCGTTTTTTTAATTAAGATTATACATAAAAACATGATCATTATATACAATATTAGTCATTTGTTACCTATAGAAATACAATATCTAAGTTTAGCTCGACTTCCACACGACACAGCATCTAAAGTCCTGCTTACAGAATGAGGCATCCTTTACAGTAAATCGTTAATATCCTCCTTTAATGCATATTTTAGTTTAGATTTTACATTTAGCCGTACTGACATGTCTATGCATAAATATTGCACTTATGTCAAATTCACTGGCCTCTTGTCTACAGTACCCGATAGAAAACTTGATCTGATGTATCAGTATGTATGAGGTTAAGTGCCCTAAAATGCATTACAGGCTCATTGAGTTCCACAGTTGCATGCCTATTTTTTGCAGTGAGGGAAGTACAGTAACAAGCACTGCATCTGAAAAGAAACTACCACAATATTTCAGATATAGCTAGAGAATAGGGTGGCAGGTAACTACTCTTGAAGCTGTAATGTATCCTTGCAGGTAATTTAGAAGTGAAATCAGGAATCAGAGAAACAGTTAAGTTAATCCCAAATACATAAGGCTGCTTTACAGCTCCAAAGAAGCATGAAGCCAAGTGATAATTACACTGTGCGCCAGTCTTTCTCAAAATGCTATTAAAATTCAACTAGTCCTGCGCCATGTTGCAATGTAGTACACCTGTAGCAATTGCATGTAAAATATACTGTAGGTCAGTTTTGCTATTTAGTGCTATGTAATATCCATTCCAAGTTTTTCTGAAAATAATAGAACATATTTTTAATTGTAGAGAAGATTTGTAGAGATCTTTGTCTTGCATGGTTCAAACTTCAGCTAAACTTTTTTTAAACTGTCATGTGACTTGATACTGTCGAGATAAAATGTGTTATGACAGCAACAGTGCCCCTGTGCATGCCTCTCCGCCATGGGGCGCAAAGACCAGAGCGGAGCAGAGTAACCAGCCGGTAATCCGTGCGCCTTTTGCCGCGGACATAATTAGATTAGGTTGGTGCAACGATCATCGCCTCTGCTGCTGCTGCTCCTGCGGTAAATGTACGGCTACCTCAACACAAACAAAACCTCCCTTTCTGACTCCGCATCATCTCTCTCGCTTTCTTCCTCCTGCTAATGTCGCTAGGTCTCCCTGTCCCTGCGTCTCTCTCTAATATAGTTGGGGAAAGCAAGGAGGGAGGGGGGGGGAGGATTCGGGAGATAAGCTGCTACTCAGCCTCTCTTCGACAGAGCTCGTAGTCACCCAGGAAGTCCAACACCGGAGACTTGAACTAAAAGAAGAGTAGATGAGATGAAGACTATTTTCACTGCATGAAGGCCACAACAGCCATTTCTTTTTGTGACTTATTCTTCTTCCCCTCGTCTGGAAGGCACGGGCAGCGGGATTTTTTTCTTATCCCCCAAAAAGTGGGGTCGGTCTTTGAGTTGTGTGGATGTTATTTCCTGGATTTTCTCTTTGGGCTGTGTCTTACGGCGGCCCGGAGAAGGCAACAGTGTGTGGAAAAGTAGATTTGCGTGTTAACCATATGGCTTCAACAAAGGTAATACGGTAAGTCGTATAATGTGTCCCTGTTGAGCCTATATTCCCTAATGAAGCATCTCTACTGTGACTCATACTGTGCCTGTGTTACTCGGTGGTGAGTTTAGTGACCTAAAGGCGCCCTTCATATTACATTTCTTTCACATTTTCTGCCTGTCTTCACCATTTTCAGACTATTAGTGTAGTTCATATTCCTCTACCGTGTGTTTATTCTTTTTGGTAGACCTGTGTGAAAAGGAAGTGCAGCTGTTCTAGCATAGGAAAGAGACAGCTTATGAGACATGCTTCGAAAAACTCGCTTTGTACATGACAGTATTCACCACAGTAGTTTGAGTAGTTGGAGCCGTTTCATCCGGTTTTGGCTGAATGGAGGATTCTCTGTCCGTGGTGCTGAAACGGGCTGAGGGGATCATTGGTGCTGGTTTAGTAAATTGACGTGGACTTAAATAAATTCAAAAAACAGCTCCTCACATTTATATGCAACACGCTGCTTTCATTTATTTCCTATCTTGAGCCTCTGGTTATCACTGGTGCACTATAATCATAATGTTAAAGATCGAATAAACATGAACTTCGTTTTTATTTATGTAACCTTCACCATCCAGGTTTTACTAAAGTGTATTCCCACTGTTAATACAGAATTTTTGTTTTAATATAAGGTCGATTTAAGTTGCATTTCTGGCTGTCTTGCAGAATGATTTTTGTAACAGAGGAACAATTTACCCCACACCCCCCTGTAAGTGATCACCCCTCATTTCCTCAAATACCAAGAGAGTAGTTAATTTTCAACAAGTAGACAGCGGAAGCGCTTAGAGCTTCTGCACTATACTGTATGTTCAGTCTTAGTCATGCAGTGGTCCCATCAAAAGCAGGTTATCTCACAGCAGCCTGTGTCCAGGATTATAAAGAGTGAGAAACAGTCATCCAATTACTGTAAATTAAGGCAAGCTGTCACCTCACCAACACAGAGCAGATAACGGGGGAAAAAGTCAAAGTAGATATGCGATGAAGATGGTTTATAGGGGTGGAGTAAAGTATGTGTAGGAGGTAAATAGTGGTGCTGTTTTTGTTGACTATGTTGCAGTACCCTGTTCTGAGTATGAACATATGAACCTTATATAATATGATGTCTGGCCCAGTCATGTGTGTAAGTGGCTTGCAAACACAGGTAGAGCAATTTGGAGCTAAATAGGAACCCATGACTACATATTGCTGCTGTGTCTGTGCATCATGGGCTGCATTTAGGCGTCCAAGTGACTATACCCATGGGATTATGCATCATTGCTTTCTACCTGTATGTTTGTGTGTGCAGGTGGGATTGTGTGGAAAGTGAAAAACAATGTGTTTCGTGAACCTGGGACCTGTCCCCTCTCGCCATGTCAAATCTTGTTAGTGAGGCTGGATGGCAGGAAGACCAGGACTTGGATTTAAACCACTGCTGCTTAGTCGCTGTCTTTTGAATTTGAGTTTCAGTTTAAATTTGATCCTTTGTGATGTGATGTTTCACTGCTACTTTTTTTTTTATTTTGCTTTACCCCATCTTAACACTAAAACTGTATCGTGTGCCAGGTGAATATTTTAGGATCATTTATTACCTTTACTGTCAGAACACCTTCTTTGGTGTTTACACATCTAATGTTAGTTTACTGTGGTCATACAAATGTAAATGTTCCTTAGATCTTTGGCACAGTACAGTTTTCACTGACAGGTTCCTTGGTTCAAGTGATAACACAACTTCAACTTCACTTAATTCTACTTGTTAAGTCTTGAGTGATTTGTAATGTTTCATTTGGAAAAGTAAAATCTTTGTTTATAAAGCTGTAATATAAGTAATATAGCAACATCTACCCATTATCTACTTTTACACAAAAGTTTGACTATTTTAATATTTTGTGATTTAACATGCAAACTCCCAAAACCATTACACAAACTGAGAATCTATCCTCTTAATTTTAGCTGAAAGTTTTGGACACTTTCTCTCATTCTAGTGGTTCTCTGTTCTAGATACTCAAAGCCCTGGTAATCTTCATTTAAGTCAATTGTTTATAGAAAGAAACATATGGGCTACTAAATTAATTATGTGGCATAGTAACCCCACTAATTTGGGTCCTGAGATTCACTATTAAAAACAATTATTTAGCCTAATACAGTAATTCCTGTTTTTCTATTGTCCATTATTTTGAAATGCCTCCCCATGGCTCCAGATTTTACAGTTTCGCCTCAGCAGTTTTACTACAATATAGTACATGTACTGGATATAGAAAATGACCATGAGACCAAAACAAGCTATTAAAAATCCATTAAACTGTTGCTATAAGAAAATCAATACAAATGCCTTATGGTTCCGAGATGTTTCACAGATGATGCATTGGACTTTTTTGGAAGTCAGTGGAAATCAAGAAGATTTCACGTTATTAGGCAAACTACACTGACCGGCCACTTTATTAGATACACCTGTACAATGGTATGCAATTCAATGCAACACTTCTACACTTCTGCCTTAACATCTGTGTTTATGAAGCTTTAAATGTTTTCAGTGAAATTGTCACATATAAATAATATATGTGTATTATTGAGGTTATAGTTAAAGGTGGTGTTGTACTGGACTGCATTATATTCAGAGGTTTCTATTGCAAGATATAATTAATACTAAGTAATTGCTTAGTTAGTTTGATGGTTCTTACTGATGTGACATGTGTGACGTAAGGCCAGAAGGAGCATAACAGAATAAGCAATTTAGGTGAACTCGTCACAATATCATGAGTTAGCCATAGCCTGAAACTACCTGTACAATACAAAAATATGTTATTAGTTTGCAATTATTAGCTCTGCTATAGCCTGAATTTTCCTATTATGGCAGTTCTGAGACTGAGGTGATGTGGTTTCCTCTCTGGGAGCAAACAGAGCCAAAGGCAGTGTTCACTGATTAGCCTGGTTTTCACAGAGCTTGACATGGCTGGTGGAGCCTTACTCAGATTTCATTAAAATCTCACTGACAAGAATGGTATAATTGTGACAGTGACCACACACAGTCAAAAATATTTTTTCCTTCTCCTGGCAGTTATCTGAAATTAACTCAATCATAGTTGTGGTAAAGACTTCATCATAGGAACATTTTGAACTTGCATGACCTATGACTGTGTAATTTGACTAACCAGACAGTTTAAACCATCAAATTCAAATGGGAAAGATGTTCTGAGTTTAGAATCTTTTGTGCTGAGTGTGTCTAATTAGTATGCAATATTTGAGACAATTTAGAGATTTTAACATTTACAAATATGTTACATAAAACCATGTGTTTGGTGCTTGCTACTAGGGAAATGTTAGATTGCTAAATGGTGAACTAAACTGCAAGGGTAAACAAATGGTATGTTTAGAATGTTGACAGTAGCATTTAGCTTAAAGCAACACATGGCTGTAGATTCTTAGTTGAACTTTGGTATAGGAAATTGTCACTGAAATGATATTGTGTAGAAATTCAAATTAAATTAGTTATTTACCCTTTTGTCATAAAAATAGTTGAATCATCCCATAAAGAGTCTAACTACACCCCGAAGTCACAGGACATGAGCTTGTTGGCTTTTAACCGTAGCTGTAGCTCGAAGTAAAAATCAGAGGCTTTTGTGACATTGTGCTGGAAAAGCATCACCCTTTTCCTGTATCATGCTGTAAAACATGCATATAACATGTACACTATGTGGGGTGATGAACTGCAACACTTTACTTTAGGTATTCAGGTCGTACTGGGTGAAGTTTTTGGGAGACTTTGACTACTATGTTCCATCCTCAGTACAGGAGTGTTGGTTCTTACTGACATGTTATTGGTGTTTGTTGGTTGTGGTGCCAGGTGCTGCTTTTGAATTCTTCTGTGCAAGGGATTGAGTTAAAATTCAACAATACCTCTGGGTTAATTGTTCTTAACAAGATTATCTGCCTGCTGGCCAAAACACTGGCTGGAATCTGCATATCTGGCAACGCAGGCAGGAGAAACAAAGAGGCAAATTAGCAAGGGCTGCCTAACTTATTCTTTGTCACCACATTTATATTATTGTTTTTTAACTTTTGAAGAGCATTACAAATTTTATTGAATTATGCAAAGTAAGTAACCACTTTAAATAATTCTAATTGTCAAACTTAGAACAATTAATTAAGAAAACAATCATGTAAAAGAAAACAAAAAAAAGCAATTTAAGCTCTTTGTTATTACAGGTACAGGAAACAATATGAACTCAGCATCATAGCTTCCCACTGTATGCCTTGCTTAGATTTCCATTCCCCTAGACCTGCTTTTTCTAAAACTGAGTTAAAAATTGTTTTTTTTTTCTTGTTTGTGCTGGGTCCCCTATATACAGTAAGTTAACTAGTCTGTTGAGAACCCCCTGCCCCAGTTTAATACCCTAAGTAGCTTTCTTTCTGATCAGGGGCTCCTAAACCTCTTCAGTCCTGGATCCAAATAAGAGAGAATTAGTGAGTGCATCTACATGTTTGCCCTGTAGATACAACATGTCCACTGTGGATATTTCCTCATAATTTACACCGAGATAACGATACATGGCCGATAATAGTTAGTGCAATGGTGGTCTCTTCAGTTTGGCTGTGAATGTAAAAATTGGATGTAACCAGTGGGTTATGAGGCAATGATAAAGCAGGTTTTCACCGATGTTGCTGCCACCTAAGTCAGCCTCTGTTCTGGAAACAGCCAACACAGCTGCACGGGTTATGTAGGGTCAGAAATGTTATGTTTTTCAAAACAGACCAAGTGATAACATTGTTTCAAAAGATCTTATTGTACAATGACTGGAAGTGGAACATAATGGTTTATTAATTAGTTTTAGTAAATTAACACATATACAGTCCTGCACACATATTATACAGTCCACATACAGAACAAAAGTACTGTATAACCAAGAAACCAAGCCAAGTTACTTGTTGCTGTGCCATTTCTCTGCAGTTTCTGCTGCCATCTCAGCCAGTGGAGGTGAATGGAATGTCATTATTGGTGCCAAAGC